ATTCTGATCTTACCAAGTAATTGGAAGTCAACTAGTTTTATGAATTTTATAGAATAAGGTGCCATTTTTGTTGATTCTAAATTAGTGATCCCTTATTTTGTCTTTTTTGAAGATTATCTCTCGATTGTTTTGTGAAAAAGACTTTTACGACTTATTAAACCTTTAAATGCAGGACTTTTACCTGTAATGGAGTATCTTCACACTGTGGTAATTCGACTTTTACTTAAGTAAAAAACCTGAGTACTTCTTCCACCCCTGCCAGTTTACTAGCCCAATATGTAAAACATAGCAGGGGCAGTAAATGAGGATTTGTGTTTACTATAACTTCCATTCCTTCACTAAAATAAAAATGCAAGTGGAATGAAAATAAAGTACAGACATGAATGAATGAATGATGAAATGTGCAGTAAAAGGCTGGTGAGTGAGGTTTGTGGTTGTTGTTTGTTACCTTTGACCACCTAAAGCCGGCTGTGGTGAACTCATGCATTGGAATGTGAGAGAGCTGCATACAAAAAGAGCAGAGAGGGAGAGAAATAGAAGATAGATAGAAGAAAGAAAACATAGGAAAGGGAAGGGGATAGTGACAGTGAGGAAGGAGAAAAAGCGACACAAAATGAGGGCAAGAGAGAAAATGAGAGAAATAAAAGAGAGGGTCAGAAAGAGCGCAGAAGAGGGGGAAAAGCAAAGGTGGACATGGGAAGGGAAAGACGCAGAAATCAAAAGAGTGTAAGGACGAACAATACGGTACAAACAAAATGTTATTAGGAGGAGAAAAGAGAAGGGGAGATAAGATTAAAAAGAACAAATAGGCAGGGAGGAAAAGCAGAGATAAGGAGAGTAGAAAGAGAAAAGTTGTAAAAATGCTCAAGTGAAAAGATAAACTGTACAACAGAGAGAGAAAGCAAATGCTAAACACATGAAAGAGAGAGATAACTGGATAAAAGAGTGCAGACAGAGTGCAAAATACTGAGCAGTCAGAAACACAGGCAGCGTTTAATATGCAATTCAGACAAGACAGCAAGGATAGCGGAGGAGAGGAGAGGAGAGGAGAGGAGTAACATATCGGACAGATACGAGTATAATAAGGATTGAGAGGAGTAAAGGAAGGGAGGAGAAGAGAGGGGAGGACGGTAAAGGAGAGAGAAGGATAGAAAAGGAAAGGAGAGCAGTGGAGAGATGAGAGGAGTAAAGCAGGGGACAGATGACTGTAAAACAAGGAAAGAGAGAAAGACCTTTGGCCAACATCAGAGATGTAGAGATTGAAGGATGGAGGGATGCAGGGAGGGGTGAGGAGTGACGAGGCCCAGCTGGAAAAGAAGGAGCTGGAGGAGAAGGAGTACAGCAACCCCTTCAGTCTTCTGAATGTGTGTGTGTGTGTGTATGTATGTGTGTTTGTGTGTGCAACAACTATATTTTAAGAGGACGGAAGAAAGAAGGAGGTGCACTGAGTTCAAGAATTAAAATTGTCTGGTTAATAAAAGACGGAAAGCTGGAGAAGAGAATGTCTGTCTTTAGTTTGGTTTCTGAAGAGACAGAGGGAATGTGTCATACTGTTGACTCATTTCTCTATGCGCACACACACACACACACACACACCTTTTTCGGAGATCACACATACAGTAGTGACTCACGTCTAGCAGAAAAGGTTTAGTATATTTTCATGTGGTCTTGTTCAACTATCCATAGGACAGCCTCTTTCTCTTACACACACACACACACGGGTCGTCAATATACGGATTCATGCTAAAGGTGTGTGTGTGTGTGTGTCTACTAATAAGTAGTCAGGATGTGTGTGTGTGTGTGTGTGTGTGTGTGTGTGTGTGTGTGTGTAAATTGCCTGGTTTGGCTGCATTTGCATGTGTGTGTGTGTGTGTGCCAACGCTATAATAAGCTATGTCTGTGCCTTTGAACAGGCCGTCCTCATTAAGGGAGGAAATTGTCTCTCCCTCTGTCATCATTTTATAAATCATTATGTGAAAGGTTAATTGCAGTGACGCAGTTGTAAAACGGGAACACAAAAATATTTATTTACAATTTACCCGTGTATATAGAGACCCGTTTCCAGTTAGAAAACCAAAGTCGCGTCCATCTGGCTCCAGCTGAATGCAATGTTGTGCTGTGTCGGTGCACTGTTTAAATAGCAGTTAGCACTTCTTTCCGCCATGTTTGTGTGTCTGTGTGTGTTGGGAGGAATATGTGTATGTATGTTGTGTACTACCATGCTGTCTGTGAGGACAGCGTGCACACATGTGCGTGTGTTTCTGTGCTGAAAGGCTGAGTTAGTGTTGTTGATGTTGGGTGAGGACTGCATTGAGTGTTTGGCTGCCATCTCCACTCGTTCACCACACGCTGACGTTTTCTACTCCTTCCTCCTTCACTGAAGCATTTTAACACGAGGACGCTCTCCAGCACCCTGTCCTGGTCTAAATGGTCTCAGTTCTGTCTAATTAAAGATGTCACTTGTAGTATTTTGAAGCATTTCAATATATCGCTACCAAATTAAATGTGATAGTTTGGCACAATTTCTGTAAACAGATTAAACCAGAGTAAACTTCAGGAGGATAAACATGTTGGATGGGAATTTTTCCATCTTTCCTTTACTTGTTCCAATCTTTGCTATTGTGAAAACCCAAAGCCTTAGGCCTGTTTGCTCTGGTAGAGGACCCAAATGTACTCTGCAACTATGTCTTATGACAGTTACTACTGTATCAGGAACTAAACTCAGGAATTAAACTAGGAATTTGTGACTCATCGTGTTGTTCTTTGCAGGTCCTGTGGATGTAATGAAATGATGCAAACCAGACCTGCAGAGGTGGAAAAGGAGACTGTAAACTCAGAATGATTGTCTCCAATGCAGTGTTTTCCATGGTAATTTATTTCTCCTTTAGTAGGCTACATGAAACAAATAGCAAATAAAGTTTTGCTTATCTTGTTCTCTCTTTGTTCGTCCGTTCACACAGTCTTGCTCATTCTAATACTATTAGTATTTGATACTATTTGCAACGTGTGTCTTACCTATGTGAGTTAAGCTGTAGACAAATTGTAGCAGCCATAAGGTTTGTGTGTCAGCTCTACAAAGTCTGCCCCGAAAGTTCCTGGGTCATCAGAAAGCACTACCCCCTGAGCAGGGACTATTTAGGCCAAGGAACTAAATTTAGACACTTGCTCCTCCAGTCTAAATGCAGGTTAGGTTCCTGGGTTCCTGAAATGGTTCCCGAAATGGTTCCTGTGCCGCCAGTGGAAACTGGCTATACGAGACTGTCCTCCCAAGAAAAATGAGAGAATTTCAGCAAATGTCCTTCAGTGATGGAGGAAGTCTAGAGCTACAAATTCCGCAAAGGAAAAGGTCAGGCTGGATGGATATGTTAACGAAACCTTGGGAGAGCTAATTTCCTGATTTTTCTTTAAACCATGACCGCAGTTGTGTTCCAACCTTAACCGTTGTTATTACTATTATTATAGGTCCCCTTAACAAATTACTTATTTTAACCCAAACCATGATCTCTCTCCAAGTCATTTTTGTGTCTAAAGCTAACCAAACCTACGTTTTTTTTTTTATCATAAAACTTTCTTTTTTTCCCAACAGTGATAAACTGTATAAATTACATCTTTTACACATTTAATATTAAGAATTTGTAGAGCTATATATGTGCAATGTGCAAAAAATGTGAGACTATGGTTTACAGATGAAGTGAAAATGCTCCACAAGGCATCTCTAGTAATAGTGTTTATTGAAGTGTTACATATTCTATGTACACATATTCTGTATGTGCTTGTCAAATATCCACATCCCGAACACTATTTCTTTTGGGTTGCATCATTACATGGAAGGGAAAAGCCAAGCTTTCGTGTGCATCATTTTAAACATGTTTTCCTGTAGTACTTAGCATCTTTGAAACTTCAGGATCTTGACTATGCTGAAATAAAGTTCTGTGAGTTTGAACGGTACAGGAGCTGAAGAAGATAAATGTGTTTTGTAAGCCTTGTTATATCTTAGCTAAGAGAGCGTTTGCCTCTGTCTGTCCATCATTTTCTTACATCCATCTGCTTGTCTTTGCTCGCAGTCTGTCTTTCTTCTATTACATCTGCCTATCTGGAACTTATTCTGCTGTGGCACCCATTAACATTAACCATGGATGAGGGTGTCAGCAGGAAAACGTGTGTTTGCATGCCTGTCTTTATGTGTCTGTCCAGACGCAGCCTGGTAAGTAAAGGCCAGAGAGGACGGCCAACATTTAGAGGCAGTAATAACAATGGAGTCCAGCCGTTTTGCCAACAGCTACAGCGGGCCATGTTTTCTCAGGGCAGTTTTCATCCTTGCAGCCTACGCTGTTTTTTCCCACTTGTCAAAACCCATCCAGGCTCTGAGGAACATTTCCCATCTCTATGGCCTCGTTAAGTCACTGGTACCCAGGGGAATGACACACACACTCCCACTAGTCTGAGGTTGACACCACTAAACCCTTCCCCTCTGAGCCTCCCTTAACACCGCTATGAGCTTTCCTGCTGTCTCAATATAGATAAAAGAGATTACAAATTGGAGCGGTTGCCTCGCGCTACATTTAAGAAAAAGCTGTTTGTGTGTTGCCGGCTGAAGCGGACAAAATACAAGCTGTTCTTTAAATAGGGATGTATTTACCTCTCCTCCAAATGAGGAGTAACTGGGCAAACACACACACAGAACCACACCTGAATGAGCTAAGTTGGCACAGGGCATGTGTGTTGCTGCTGCCATTAGCCACTTTTGGCACAGCAATGTTTAGCCATGTCAGAAAGAGTTTTTATGTTGCTCTAAAGATGTTTGTCTGTGTGTGTTTCCTTGTGCGTCTTTCCAAATATCCCGCAAAGACCGAAAAATGAAGGAGATCCTCAGAGGTGAAGACATTTGTGTAAATAAATAACTGATAGGGGTTGAGTGTAAGGAAAGGTTCGGATAACACATTTTCTGGTTGGGAGTTAGGGTTGCAGTAACACACTTTTGCTAATATGAGAGACAGTACCTGTTTCTCGGAGTGTGTGCGTGCCTGCTCCTCCTGGGCGAGCACCACCTCCCTCTCCGCTGTGATCTGAACGCTTTCCCTCAGCGCCTCCTCCAGCTCCTCAATGCGCTCCTCCTTCTCACGGAGGGTGTCCTACAGAGAGAGTATGCAATGTAAAGAGAGTGCAAACTGTTGCGGTGCTGAGACGATCCGTTGATGAATCAAGCATTTATTGAGGAAAAACACATGCTAGCAGCTCTGTGAGGCTAAATGCTAATGTTAACATGCTCTCAGTAACAATGTTGACATGCTTATGTTTGGCATGGTCACCATCAAGTATCATTTGTTAATTACCACTTAACAAGTTAATACAATTCAAGAGAACATGAAAGTCTAAATTTTGTGCCCATCCATTTAAAAGTTGTGGAGACAAATTTACCCAAAACCACAAATGCTTCATAGTGGCGCAAGAGGAAACATCAGGGGATCACCAAAGTCAGTAAGCGTCATCCTGTGGTGACCATGAGTGTCTGTACCAAATGTACCAACTATTTCCAATAGTTCCGGACCAAAATGTGGCTACTGTGGCTAAAATGCCAGACGTCTGATGGTTCCAGCATCTCAAATATCAGGATTTGTTTGCTTTTTATCATCGCAAGTTGGTTATTTTTGGGCTGTTAGTTAGATAAAACAAGCTATTTAGGTCTGGCACCATTAGACCAAACATAATGCAGCCCCAGATACTAATATATTGTCAAGAAATGGTTTAATAGGCTCAAAATATATATATTTCAGGAGGGCGTTTAATTTGTGTACACTAGCCAGAAAATCAATTGTCGTACAACACTTTCCTTGATCCGACATCCTTCTTATGTGACTGTGTATTACTAAATCACACCAGTTTCCCGTAATAGCAACTTTTTGTGTCACATCCTGCTTAACATGTCCCTACAGTGAAAACCTTGGCCGTTCGCTGCTCCCAGCAACTAGAATAAGCTGCCAAAGACTCGTGAATTAGACAATCTGATCTCCATCTGCCTCTGAGGACTCTCAGGAACTCCCAATCGCACATGAAACTGTTTTCTAAGTAAAATCACAACATGAACCTCCCCCCTAAATTCCCCATAAAGAGCCATTTGTCCTCTTTCCAGGCAACCGACTTTCCTGGTTAAATTAGAGCTGAATGAATAACTGATGGAGACAGTGTGGGAGGGAGAGGATGAGACATTACAGTGGCCATGAACAAACCTCCAGGACATCTCCAACACATGTGCTGTAAATATGAATCCAGGTCCACATCCAATATTACTTGGTGTCTAACTATGCAGACTGAGATGGACTTTAATTGAATTAAATCCTCTTATTGTATTGAATTAAATTTACGATCTGAATTATACTTACATTCCATTTGCAGTCTTCAGCTGGTTAAACTATGCAGAATGGCTTACAATTGACACACACACACACTAGCTATGGTTGTAACCACTGCGGTCTCACAAGTCTGAGTGACTCACATAGCTATCAGCTCATCTCCTAACCACACTCATACACATAAATGACAACTTCCAAACTCCTTAAACCAAGGATCAATCATAGCTAGAGGGAGCATACGCTTATTTGCACAAACAGACACGCACACACACACACACACACACACACAAACACAGAGGAGTGTTTTCATCTGCCTCTAATCAGAGAGACCGCGGAGGTTAACGATTACTGGAAAAGGAAAAGGGAGGAGGATGGACGAGGAAATAAAGTAAAGAAGGAGAAGAAGTCAGGGAAAGTTGAAGGGAAATTAGGGTTGAAAAGGAAATTAAAAGGTAGAGATGAAGAGGTGAAAGAAAACGAGAAATCTGAAGAAAACCACCCCACACGTGGCTGTTCATCTTGTGGTCACTTGACACCCCAGCAGACAATTAGGAGATGCTCTCACACCACAGGAAGCACTTTAAAACCCACAACATTCACTACATAGTTTAGTGTGTGGGTCCCTCGAGTCTCGTCTAATCACCTCTCCTCCTCACCTCCTTTCTCCGCTTCACTTCTCTGACCATTTTCCTCCTCTCCATCTTCCATCTACACTCCCTGTCAATCACCCTCTTCACTTACCCTGTCTCACACAGTCCCCAAGCGAGAGCTGGATCGTGTGTGTGTGTGTGTGTGTGTGTGTGTGTGTGTGTGTGACAGCGAGTGTGTTTGACATTGCCTCAGGCTGCTCCCTGTCACAATTGTCACGTTATGATGAAGCATTGTTGTGATAGCAGACAGTATTCAAGGTAGGACATAGAGAAGGAGAAAAACTTTTTCTGTCTCACCCCCACCCTCCTTTAACTCCCTCCTCCTCTTCCTCCCTCCATACCTTTATCTGCTGGGAGCTTTCGTTCAGGTTGTCCTCTCGCTTCTTGGCGTCCTCCATCAGCTGGGCGTTTCTGCTCTTTTCCAGCTGCTCCTTGTGTTTCAGGTTGGCCACCTTCTTCGTCTGGTCCTTCATCTGCCTGCACACACGCAACATCAAAGTCAGTGCATCACCTACGAACAGTATCTCTAGACTCCCTAGAGACAATCTCACTCTCAGTAATTCTGTGTTTCAATACAGAGCTTACTAATATCATATCACCTCTGAACAGATGACATTCAAACAGGTGTTTCTCTTATTTAAAGGGGATTGTTTCCCTATTTTTTGTGACAAATTAGATCTAGTATGTCTATAAAACACACTGGTAATAGCAATAATTTAAATAATAATAGTAATAATTTTTCCAGTCTTTTGGTTTCACTGCTCCTCTCCAGCCCTGATTGAAGAAGTCTGTTTGGAGTTCACAAAGTTAAGCATTGTGATATTCATGGATACGTTGTTAGTAGTAGTTATATGGCTCTGGTCATGGAGGCGGTCAGGATAATTGCACACTGAGCTACAATGATTTTACTGCATCACTAGCATTTGGACCACATACATTTAATATTAGAAAGATGGTTGAAAAACTATATTACAGCATTCATGTTTACATACATTATGAAAACAAGAAACACAACATGACGTCTAAACCTCTAAGTGTATGTCTCTAAAAGGTTCAGCCGTTTCAATGCCCAACATAAAAACAGTCCTCTTACAGTAAGAGCTTCGAGGAAATGGACAAATGGGCCTCTATTCATTTAGCCACTTAGATTTTTCCCCCAAAAATACACAAACAAGTGGTGGCCTCTCTAGGATGCTGACCATATAAGTTCAACATTCCCAGTTAAAATCCGGCCAGGGACCTTTGCTGCATGTCATTCCTCCTCTGTTTCTTATTCTGCTCAAATAAAGGCCGAAAAACCACAACAACCAAACTGAATGGACCTGCACTCACAATTCTGGCAGGTCGCACAAATGCAAATGATATTTCAGATACAGAGTCGAACCATCTCTCACCAAATGTTATTGCCATTAAGATGATACTGCAAGACAATCTGATTAGCTATTCTGTGCAACATAAAGCTGTAATGAAATCCCTTAGGGCCAATATAACGTAAAGATCAGTAAAGGAATTCAATAAAAACGACTGGATGACATTTGAGATTTCTACATAGTGGAGAGGTCTTTTCACGGAGGGATTACTGGGTGTCGGGAAGCAGAGTCTAAATAATAAGCAGGGGAATGAAGGAGAGAGAGAGAGAGAGAGCGAGAGTAAAAGAGGGAGAAACAGAGATTCCTCATAGGAGATGGAGAAAGGGTTTAATCCCTGTTTAAGCTGTCTGGAAGCCACTGTGGCTCTGTCACAGACCTATCAGCTATCACACCAGCTTGACTTGATCAGGCCCTTTCATACCTTTCATACACACACACACACACACACACACACACAGAGGTGGACTAACCCAAGCTAATGCCAGTAACTTCCACTGAATCATGACACAGATGAAAGATAAGTCAAACACAGAGGATAAATGTGTAAGCATGCACGTGTAGGCAGATAGCCAACAAAGACACTGGTAAGACAAAACTGCTGACTAATGTGTTATCAGACTCAATAAAAGTCATTCTTCTCGCTCTGTGTTAGTCTGCAAGTCTTTTGTATGCTTGCATTTTTTTAAAATATGTGTACAATCTGTCTGCCTGCGCCGTGCAAATGTTTATTCATGTGTGCGCATTCCTGTTAGCATAACTTTTTACAGGCTCGTACAGTAGATAAATCCATTTTCTTTGCTTCCACTGCTGCAGCTGCCAGTAAAAGAACTGACCTGCAGTGATGGGAAATCTGCAGCAAACTCTGTCTCAGCATGTGCACTTAAGGGAAATCCTCTTTAAGAGCCATACACTGTATATTTTGTTTCCTAAGGTGTAAACAGGTTCCAATCATCACATGACCTTTGAACTTTGTCTGTGCACCACAAAGCTCTAAGCATAAATCCATGCATTTGCAATGTTACAATCTCACAGTGTGCTGTTTCACTTGTTTCATTTACGCTGCTTTACTCCTTCGAGTGCAATCTTCTGTCTGAATTGGTAAGGGTCCAAAGTTTATTTGTTTACATCTAGAGTGATATACATATTCTAATGTCTAAATATTTCATAACACCTCCTCTCTTTCATCTTTCCTGTCCATCTAGGCCATAAACTACCTGCTAAACTAACCTAAAGTAATGGGAGTAATCCATCAAATGGCTTTTACATCAGTATCACTGCCAGAAAAGTTGAGAAATGATATTGGCAGAGGATGGTAACATAAAATCCTCTATGTGTTTGCTAAAAGGTCCAGGGGGCCCAATTCCAAACCGTCCAGAGAAATTTGGGAAGCTGGAAGAAAACTTGAAATGCGACGACGGGGGCCAGAACTTCTCTGCAGCACATGGCCGTTCAAAGCTCACCGAATAATAATGAGTGTGTTAAGCTGCATGTGCACACGTGTGGTTTTGACTTATTATTTGAAGTATTGTTTTTGTGTGCATTTTAAAGACCTACACGTACCATAATTATCACATCCAAATTAGGTTCAAATGTTAAACAGGAAAGCAGATGAAGTAAGCGTGGAGTCAGATGCATAATGGTGTTTTTTTTTTTTTTGTTTCCTTTGTTCCGTCCTGATTTCAGTTTGCACCCTGAATGTGGGATAATTTGAATATTTGGGATCAATTTTGCGCTCTACGCCCTGTGTGAGTGTGTAACAGGTCATAAACAGGCAGGAATGTTCCTATTGGAGGATTTCCAGGAAGCTCCAACCATCTGGTTAGCTCTCTGAGGTTTCCCCCCTTCATGCTACATTTACTGTACGTATGCGAGTGCATGTGGAATAGACTTTTAGTTTGCAATGTTTCCTATTGACTCAACACTCAGTTCCCACTTACACTCCCTCTCTTTCCTCTTCTGCTAATGCTAAACACTTGTTTTGTTCAAACCTCACGTGTTTGCCTGTATCACTTCTTGCACGTCATACCATTTGCATAGGTAACCATCGCGCATTTGCATCCGACCACAGTGAGTTCCTCCTCCTCTCTCCTCTCATTGGAATTTTCTTGCTCACCAAAACCAACACTTTCCCTCCAGTTATTTCCCTCCCTTCTTTTTTGCATGTTTCCTTATAATTATTCGAATAAAAAGCAATCATTTATTTGCAACATACCAATGCACGAGGACAAATTTACTTCACCTCGCCATTCCCCGTTCCTTTCTGTCTCCATACTCAACCACCTCTCCAAATGCAACATTACTCTTTCCTTTGGATGAAATATTCTCAGCAGACCATGGACAATTTCTTCTTTCCTTTCCTCTCCCCGGTTCCTTCCACTCCCTCTTTTGTCACTTCCATCTCCTGTGCTTTACTTTCCCTTTGACTCACAAACTTTTTGGTTTGCCGAATGTGTTTTTCATCTTCTCTCTCTCTCCATCATCTGCATATGAATCTAATTTATCATGACCTTAATCATCTGTGATACTGAGGTGTGTTTTTAATGAAATGCTAATGAAAAGGAAATGAATTAAAACATTCTTATTGTGCACTATGACATTATTACTCATCAGTATAATTTCATCTTTTGTCATTATATGCCAGTTACATCTCTTCTGAAAACATCTTAAATTCTCCCATTGATGTTACTGTTATGTTACATTCAAGTTCGAGTTTTTCCATATGAGTATCGCATATCAATGTCTTATCAAAGCTATAAAAGACCTATTCAAACCAAAGAGGCTATGTTTATTGTGTATAATTACATCAAATAGGACATATTCTACATATTTCCTCATCTTGATCTCCTACTACCTGGATGTCTTTAAAAACATTTTGATGTAGACTTTAATTTGAAACAAAGGCTGATCCTGACCTCTGACCTCTCTATATGAAAGACAGGAGACAGGAGAATTTCACTATGGGGTATGATAACATATCACATTAATATTAATTCTATATTATTATACAACTGAGATGTTATGACATAGGTTTCCCTCTCTATCCTGACTAACAAACTATTTGCGACATGAATACAGTTTCTCAAAAGTTGCAGTTGCAAATCTGCACGTTTAATTAAACACTTTCATTACACTCGTTGCTTTAAGGAGCAGAAGTTGCTCGGTGAACTCGATGGCTCGGCTCAGAGGAGGCAAAGGGCCATTTGAAGCTGTTTTAATATGTAAAATACTTCCTTCACTCTCCCTCTGAAATCCCTTTCAACATCTGCTGCAAAACCGCTGGAGGAGGCGGAATCACAGGAGAGTTGACTTTACCCACAACGCTGTAAACACTACATACAAATGTAAAACCACGTCTGCACACACACGCACACACACACGATCATACACTTATTGACACACGGTGTGAGTTCACATGAAGGAACAAATTTACCAAAACCACTCTGATAATGGGGGACACGCACACACGCACATAGTCGGTGCTGTCAACTTTTCCAAACACAACCTGCTTTGTATTAGAGTCCCTCAATTGGACCACACACACATATTTAAAGCGCGCACACACACACACAGTTCTGCATGCAACTGCACGTAACATAACAACATGAGTCCATTTTCAGACATTTGCACAGAAATACACACACACGCAAACATGGCGGCACATACAGTAAACATATGCTAACGTAAACACACACTAATATACTCGCTGACAGCGCTTTGAACTTCCTAAATTCTGCAAAACCTCAAAAATACCCAAATGTACTGACCACACACACACACACACACACACACACACACACACTCTCATACATACAAACATCTATACAAACATAGAATAGCCTTCATTAATACTTAAAATTGTTAAAAGCTAGTGAACATTGCTGACAACTAGCTGTAAAATGAAAACACACACACACACACACACACACAATCTCATAAACTTCACTAAACCTCAAAGTCTCCAAACTAAAATTTTTAACCTCCCTCATTAGCATGCTGCTGATATTCAGGGAGCCACATTAAGGTAATATTAATATTACATTTGGAGTCCTGTATAAATATTTGATCAGAAATGCTCGGGGGCCTCATGTATGTTTACTGCACATAGTTCACCCAACATTAACATCAAGGATTTCCTTTTAACCATTTGGAATTCAGTATTTCCTTTGAAAATACAGGAAGTATTGGTTTGGTTTACTGAGCCCATAAAAACTATAAAACATTAAAAAGAAAGAAAAAATCATCAAAAACATAATAGTTTAGTTTTGCAAACTGACGGCGCGGAAGAAAAACCTACAGTACAAGGAGGACATTTTGGAGGAATAAAGAAAGAAAGAAATGTTGTTTGTAGAATGAATGTAGGAAATCCCTCAAGCAGAAAAGCAAATTTGTGAGGTAAATAAGGAAGGAAGGCAGCTCAGACTCTTGTGTACGTGTGCAAACTTCCACAGTGTGGGTTACTGGAAACTAGCTTTTATTTTTGTATACAACAACAGACAGAATGAAATGTCTTTTGTCATAGCATCTGTCCATATGAAAATAAACCACATTTATGGCATATATCCCCTGTTTCAGAAGTAACCAGCTAAAGGGGAAATGTTTAGATAGTAGTAACAGAGTAAGCATGTGACAGAGAGCTGGAGTTGATCTTGGCAGTGTCTTTGTTTAACATGGAGAACAACAAAGTCTCAGAATTAAACGCTGCTCTTCAGACTCATATTATTTTTTTGGTCTGAACTCTAGATTAGTCAACAGCACAAAAATATTATTATGTCTCAGTACTTTTAGCTAATCACTGAATGCAGTTAAATACAGTGGTTCTGGATCTTAACAGGTCAAAACACATACATGGCATTTTTTTTCTTTCTTTCTTTTCTTAGTTTCATAAGGCTGCAGTAATTATTTTCATTCATAATTAATCTGTTAATATTGTTTGGTCTAACATCAGACAATAACGACAGTGCTCACTATAATAAAAAAATAATAGCTTTTTAGTTCTATTTATTCGTATCATTTGTTTTATTTGACCAATTGACTACTCTTCACAGCACTCGTGTTGACGCAGCACTACAGTACGATGCCCACATTTGGACCTCTGTTTTATAACAGCATGTTCCCTACAAACTGACCCTGAACATAACTCATGTCACAATGTAGGAAAAAATACTGTACATTTTTTTTGTCTGTACATTTTGTGCATAGATTTTTTTCCTTATTTGTAATAATTATGCTAATGGTCATTTATGTATTTTATTGCCTTTTACAAAAAACTGCAAAAGCAAAGTGTTACCAATTTAACTAAATATTGATTTTTTTATTTATTTAATTTTTAATAAGAACTAAAGAAAAATTATGTAAAGGAATAGGTTGATTTTGCATTCTGTGTCTTTGGGATCAAAAAAGAGGAAGTGAAGCAACAAAACACAAGCATTGAAAGAATAAAACTACAAAGCAAAACATACTAAGGTAAGAAAGCATAATTTAAAGAAAGCCGCCACTGTAAGCTGCACTGTAGATCTGTCTATTTTCTGAATACTCTAATACAAAACTGTAAACAAAAAGCATGTTTTTCATTTTCCCTCGGTACTGGGAATAGTGTATGTGTATGCAGGTATTTTAATTAGATAACTCCCAGAAGTCATCTCCACTGTAGTGTTGTCACCTATTAGCTGGCAAAGTCCTTCTTACATGTGTGTTTGTGTGTGGAAAACAGAAAAAAAACAATGTGCATGGTGTGTATGTGTGTGTGTGTGTGTGTGTGTGTGTGCTTGTTGTCACCCATTAGCTGACAAATCCCTGCACCACCTCAATGCTCAGAGTCATACGGGACCTCAAAGGGATCACACACACACAAACACCTACACACACACACACACACACACACACATACACAGAAACAATACAATTCATTTTTAAGCTACGGAAACCTTGATGTTAGACATTTGGCAGTGGATGAGGAGTTACTCAGCTCAAGATCAAAACAACCAGAAAAAAAGACAAGACTGGGAAAAAAACACAAAAAAAGGACAGAAGAAGAAAAAGAAGTCTTCTGTTGTCTACCAGACAGCAATGCAATGCTAACTTTTTCTTTTGTTTCTTTCCCCCCCTCTAGAGTTGAATCACAAAACACCAGAACAACAGCGATGAAAAAGCTGACAAGACAGCAGGGGGAACAGTGGCTCTGGAAGTTGAAAATGAAAGAAAGAGCATAGAAGGAGCTGGCACCGTGGAGACCTTTACGGCAGAGCAGAGCGTACAAAACACTCAGACCACCAGATTTATGCAGGAAACAGAAGGGATAAGTGGTTATTATGTGGTCGATCACAATGTGTAGGTCAGAGAAATTTCAATATGACTTTGATATGTCTGTTAGAAAAGACCAAATTCAGACTTTGGGTTTTGCATGCTGAAATCTCATTACGGAGTCACCTCCTGAGTGCAGAGAGAGATATTTAAAAGTCAAAAAAAGAAGAAAAAGATGAAAGTTTTTTCATCTCGAGATATGGACGATGCTTTATGGTGGCACACTTAAAGGAATAGTTTAACATATTCACTCTCTTGACGAGAGTAAGAGGATGTCTACAGCCGGCAGTCAGTTAGCTTAGTATAAAAAAATCTGCCTAGCAGTACTTTTAAAGCTCAGAAATTAACACCATATATCTTGTTTGTTTAATCCAAAAAAGAGTTTTTAACGGGTGGTTATTTTCTGGACTATTTCTAGAGTCTGCTGATCTCCTGTCATCCTCATGGTTGCGACAACAGGACATAGCATGTTAATCAATGAGCTTTCGAGGTGCTGGTAGGTTCCTTTCTCATGCATTTGGACAGATTCTGTTTCCAATCTTCATGCTAGCCTAAGCTCCTCGTTAGAACATTTATCATCCATACAGATATGAGATTGGGCCATTCAATCTTTCTTCTAACTTCTCAGCAAGACAGCAAAAAACAATTGTCCTGAACTACTCTAGGTTGAACTATTCCTTTCAACCCACACCATAACTTAACTGTCCATTTGCAAAGTTCATGGCCATTTTGGGACGTCACAGACCACAAAAGGTTGTGAAACCTTAGTTGAACATTTACAATAGTGTCTAAACTGTTTAACAAAAGTAGTGACAGGAACAAAATGTGAAGCGATTTCTCTTTAAGAGCCACAAGGCCACAACGAAACCCAACAGAAGTTAGAAGAATTCTGAGCAAAAGTTCACTGCTGTCCAAGTAAATGATGGCGATGCTTGAAAAATCTTTCCTGTTTGCTGTGGTAGCCTGAAATTTGAACTTAGTGCTAGTATCATGACAAGACTAGCAGGGTGCTATAATGGAGGGTGCAAGAAAGAAACAATAATGTTTCCTCTTCAAAGAGGCACTGATGTGGCAGAGAAAGAGAGCAGTCTGAAAGTCAAGGTGTCTCCTTCAAAGACAGACAGACATGATGAGAATGATTAAAAACAGAGTTTATGACAGAGTGAAGGAGATGA